ATCAATGAGACTGCAAAAACTTTCATTTAACAAAATTCATTTTTTTACCATTAAATTGGTTTTTCCTTAGCTTTGTTTTTCTTGTTACAGCTTCATGGTCCAAATCTTGTCTAGCATAGTTTCGACGTTGAATTCATTGTTTGACGTTGCTTTTGACGTCACTTCCGACGTCAAACATATTGGCGCGTCATTGTTACAACCCGCCCCGTGTTACAACCCACCCCGCTCTCCCCTAGCTATGGTCTTCAGTACATGTATTACCACCGGAGCCTGAAGTTCTGTCAATAATCAATTTTTATGATAAAAAAATAAAAATTCATGATAATATATCTACTATTTATTGACAGAATTTGAGACTCCTACAGTATCATATCTCAACCGTTAACGGTTAATTGTATATTTTTTTTAACTACAACATATAGTTGCTGGCGATATCAAAACAAGTTTCAGTCAGGGAATCCATATTTATTTATTTTAGTAAATAATCAAATATGACATTTCTCGTTAATTTGGGCGACTTCAGTATTTTCTTTCTCGTTCAGCAATAATTTTGTATAGAGCAATTTCAACAAAGGCAGAAGGAAATTGAAATACATGTACGTGTAGATACTCTCGTTCTTCAAATATAGGCTACATCAACTAATGTTTACACAAACTATCATACATAAAGGTTAGCGAGTCAACATCAAGGTAAACCAGAGTACATCGATATGTGCTATTAGCTCAGAGAAGAAAACAATCTGAGTCGGGTACCACAGGTAGTAGAGTACAGTAGAAATGGCTTGATTCTGAAAATAAAGGGCATGGATAGCGGATTTATCCTGCACAACACACCTACAAATATATATATATATATTTATAAACTACATTTTGAATACATTTATTTTAGAAGAACGATTTTTTTCTCTCCAAAAAGTGATTTCCCCAGATTTGGGACTTTTGAAAACCATGGTTACCACATCAAAAAACGCCAAAAAATGCAAAAAAACATTTAAAACCTGTCTTAAATTGAATATCACCTACTCGGTAACAGAAATACTCACGTTTTAGCATAGGTCGTTCAACTGGATTTTTCACATTATTTACACATGTGCCGAGTACAAAAATAGACTACATGAAGGGCTAGCTTTTGTTGTGAAGACACAGATTTGTAGATGGCCAAAAATGTAGTCTCAAACCAAATTCGATTTTTTTTAAAATGTGAAGCCCACATAGTCCACTTCATTACGTATATGCCATTTTTGTAATACATGTTATATTACAGGGGTTATTCATTGTATAAAAATATAACCAATGTCCATCGTACGCTACTGTACAGTGCTACTACAGCTAGAGGCCTAACGCGTTTCCTTGCTGTACGTTGATCAATTACCGCGTGAAGTCACAAGTGTAATAAAGTAATAAACATATATGTCTTGATAAAAAGTCAAGCAAGTTAACCCCCTCTGTATTAAAACGCATTCACACGGATATTTTTTGTGGAGAAAGTTAATTGTGACGTCATTTCCGGAGTGATGTAACACACGTTACATAAACGTAATTTATGTGTTGGCTTTATGACACTGCATAACACAGTATTCAGATAATAAATGTATATTCGTCTTTGGTTTTATGGTATTCTTCAATCTCAAGAATCTCCTTGAAGAGATGAAAATACTAAAGACTCGTTGTTCAGTTTTTCTTTCTTTTTATATCTCTATATTGGTGGTATTTGTGGTGGTGGGTGGGAGCAGTTAACTGTCGCGAAAAAGAACTATTCGTGATGAACAGATAAGGATTCTGGGGGGGGGGGGTAGGGGGTGGGTTGCTCTTGGAAATCTGCCATCTCTGATCCAAGATGGCGCCTTAGCAACCCCCTTAACCTACGGCCTCAGATCAACATCTATTCATCATGTGTGTGTTTTTGCGTGTGACGCCATCAATTTTAGTGTTACCGACTTAATTATCTCCCCCTGTTTCCAATAGGTGTGTATATTTAGTGTGGCGTCATTTTGACGGAATTAACTCCCCTTGTTTCTGACTTTTTACCTTCTGGTTTCAGGTATTGCTTCCATGGACGATCTCTCTCTCTCTGTGATGCTTGACGGACCTGCGAACCCTTGTAGTACGAGAAAGAACGCTCACAGTAATGCAAATCGCTATTACTTGTACATTGACTCAAAAAAAATATCAGGCAGAAACAAATGTGTGGTCTTCTCTCTTCAGGCTTTCTTCTTAAGTTTTCGTTCTTCTTCTAGACGATTGGTGGCAAACATGTAAGAATGAACAATAGGGCACCTGTTTGATATGTATAATACCCTAATAGTTCATTCCCATATGGTTTTTTTTTGTCTTTTCTTTTCTTTTCTCTGCATCTTTTTTTTTTAATTTACAATATGTACATATATTCATTTTGCAAATGTATACCTACAATGTTTTCCAACAATAATTTACGTCAAATACCTAATCTTCAAGATGTACAACATGTATTATTCTCTATTTATACAAATTACAAATAAATAATCTACATTATTTACACCATGCAATAAATAATTGTACGTTTTATACAAGTTACAAATAAATAATCTGCAATATTGAACACTTAACATTATGTAATAAATAATGGTACACTTTATACTAGTTACAAATAAATAATCTGCAATATTGAACACTTAACATTATGTAATAAATAATTGTACACTTTATACTAGTTACAAATAAATAATCTGAAATATATACAACATGCAACGAACACTATATACAATATGTAATAATAAATAATCTTACGCTTTATACAAGTTACTAATAAATAATCTGCATTATATACAACATGTAATGTGAACACTTGACATTATATACAATATGTACATTTCTTTCTGGTTATTGCACACCATTCTAGGCTTTTATTAATAAATATTTATGAATGAAAAATGTACATCTTGGTACTAACATTTGTTGTTATCTTGCATCATAAGATTAGTTACAGTAAAGTGCCCCAACAAGGTAAAGTTGTAATAAGTAATCTAAGTAAAAACCAGCAGTGGATGCACATGGATTCACCCCAGAACATTTTCATAATCAATTCACCACACACGACACACGGAGTCAATGTGTGAATTAAGGAAGGCATTAGGTTAATGTTGAGTCGTTTGCAATTCCGTCTTTGCGTATTGCAGAGTTATCTTCTCTTGAGAGCAGGTATTGATTGTTACGTCATTTGTTCGTGTGAGAAAATTACGTCGTTTTCTCAAAAATTGATGACGTTTCTCTCACAAACAAATGACGTAACAATCAATACCTGCTCTCAAGAGAAGATAACTCTGCAATACGCAAAGACGGAATAGGCATTCTAACGGTAAAAGTCCCTGTTTATTCTTTTCTTACGTTAAGACTGCATCAAAACGATGTAATTGTAAATCTTTTTTCGCACTAGTAGAGGAAAGTATGGTATAAGCTACAAGAAAGAGAATATACTTAATTGTAGCACTGCGTAAGGAGAACCGTATGGGTTTACAATTTATATTCCGTTTAGAATCAGGGTCTTTGCTACTATAGAGTGTAACACTGCTCTGGCTACGTACGCGTGACAATGTGTTTTCTTGTTTTTTTCATGCGACAGTTACATAATACCCTCTTAATGTTTAATACGTTAGGTCCCACTTTGGTTATCAATGTTTCGAGATATTGCCTGTACAAAATAAGAGAAAGTCTAATGCCATACATTTTCGTACTGAATGGATTGGCGTAGATGTTAAACCTCTTGGTCCCTCTGGAGTACAAGTGGTCTACAAAGATAGTACTAGGGTCCTAAATCGATTCGCAAAGTAAAAGAGTGTCGCCGATTTTGATTCAGATGTCAGTAGCACCTGTAACGACAAAAGGAGTGAAAACAGCTCTTAACACGTTAATAACCGTACGGATACGTGTTTAAGCTGTTGGGGTCAATGACCCTTTTAGTGTATACGAGCCTATACAGTTTGGTACGAGTTTCATTGTACAATGCAAATGTCTTCTGATCCCTCATTATTTTATCGTCTACTGTTTGGGTGACTCTCCCGCGGTCCGACAATACGATTTCTTTCATCACAGAGAAGTTGACAGTCCTTTCGTTTTGTACATTCAGGGAGAATCCCCTGACCTTACACGTTGTGTTGTTTGTGTTTGTGCGGTACGGGTAATTCTTAGTATATATAGGTCCTGCACTTTAGGTGACGTCACGGTCGTCGAACGTGAGATCACTATCATCGATGTGTGTATTTCTGTGACGTCATCAAATTTAGTGTTACAGACTGAATTATCTCCCCGTTTCCATTAGATGTGACGTCATTCTGACGGAATAAGCTCCCCTTGTTTCTAACCTTTACCTTCTGATTTCAGGTATTCTCTCTCTCGGCGACGCTGTTTCATTGGTTTTTTTTTCTCTTTTCTTTTCTTTTCTCCTCTTTTTCTGCTCTTTTTATTCATATATTTTCATTTTCCTTGATAATCTTATGCATAGAACATATTTACAAACAATAAATAGTTACAACATACGCTATTTACGATATAAATTCCACGGCATATTTACAATGTTTTCGAGTGTGGTATTAAATTGAGATGACCTTTTTTTCGTGTAGCGATTCTAGTTAAGTTTTAAAAACTGCAGTCCGGTTGTGTTATAAGACGTTCGGGCAAGTAATTGTATGTTGTGGTACCGTACATTTTTTACATGGTATTATCAGAGACGTATTTATATACATCTCTGGTATTATTAAATTGTTGGTGAATGCATTGATATACTCTAGGGTACGAAATAAACGAGGTTCTGACCCAGGGTACCTGTCATACCGTCAGCCTATCAGATATGTCGCTAGCCCCTACTTCAATTTTAATTAAATACCCACTCGACGGGTATGTATATCTGTCAGTACAGTACGACCTTGGCCTACTTTAAATATACATAAGTAACTTAAAATAGAACATGTTCTCATAAACCCGGAAGGTGAATGTATTCGGGAATTCCGAGAATTTTCGCCGCCATATTGACAACCCTGAAATAGGTGTACAAAGAGCTGGACGAGATGGCGGCCCAGACACCAGTGCCTGGCTGTATACGACATCAAGGGATAGGGTTTGTTTATGTCTGTAAATCGTGCGAAGACCAGTTACTTTGTATGGAGTGTGTTACAGACAGTCACAACGGCCACACGCTGGGTAAACTTACTGATTACGTGGCGGGTCAGAAACGGGAAATACAGCAGTATGCCGACAAACTCTCCAAAACCGATATTCCCAAAACAGAGGGAGATATTAAGGAAAGTGGACAGCATGCCAAGAGTGGTCGATATCAGAAAATGATTGAGGGAATCAGACGTCAGGGAAAACAGATGAAAGATGACATCGACAACGCTATTGACATGCTTGTGAGGATGTGTACCGAGTTAGAGGAGCGCAATGCAGATATTTCTGAGAAAAACAAAACTGCATTTACTAAATACCTAAGGGAGGACTTGAAACCAAAGCTTGACAGGTGCAAAGAAGTACTGACATCCGGTACAACTGTTGACGTCACTACATTAGCGCGCGAGATTAGAAACGGTGTAGCCACTGCCCCACCATCTCTCAGTGATTTGCAGAAAGTTGAATTCAAACCCGGGACAATATCCACCGAACTCTTAGAACGCATGCTTGGTAAGCTACTTGTCGATGGAGTAGATGAGTCGTACAAACCGATTCCTAAATGTGTGGTTTTGTACAAGTTTAAGGCGCCGTTTTCATACGATACATGTCAAACATGTCTTACCGGTGACGAGGAATGGTTATCGTCCTTGGACAGTGAAACCATATATCGAGTAGATTTGAAAGGCAAAGTCAATGAGATGATAGAGTGTCAGGTCAAAGTCGAATCGATCTCCGTATCTCCGACCACGGGGAGAGTGTGGTTTTGTGTGAGGAGTGACAGAAGTATCCGAGAAATCATGACGGGTGGTGACAGTGTTACACGCTTTAACGTTAACAACATGCCAATTTCTTTGTGTATCACTAGTGACGACATGGTAGTGGTGGGGATGACGGGAGGAATACAACTGTACACTACAGACGGACGGGCGGTGTCGGCAGGAGCGGGTGGTCCGTGTAGACAGGTGGCAGTAACTCCTCATCACATGACGTCATGTACACTTACCGGGGATGTAGCTGCTGTTGATGGTGATGGTGTATTGTTTGATAACTACATGGCTGGTAAGGAACCAGGCAAGCAACCGTCCGTCATCGTCATGGATAAACACCTAAACCTGAAGTTTTACTGTAAAGACATCGGTACGAGCAAAACACACGTGAGTGACATTCAATCATCAAAGTCTCACCCGTACGATGTTTGTTTTGATGGAGCTGGTGATGTCCTTGTAACGGAATGGGTCACCAAGTCAGTACTACTTATTGACAGGAATACTGGACACTACATGAGGACTGTTTATACATCTGATGGACGTGAACCTTCTTGTATCAGTCTACGCAATGACGGAATACTATGGGTTGGACACAGGGACGGAAAAACAATAAAGGTCATCGAATACAGGTAGACGTTTGGGAACAAATACATACTACATACAGATACACTTACTCCATTGCCTTTTACGTGACAATAAACACTGATGATATTCAGCCATTGGTATCGTCAGAAAAGTGATTACCTAGGAAGTCATATAAAGAAATCATGGTTAGGTTTAAGATAATTAAGTATAGTGTTTTGTGACATCTATTACATGTCTAATAGAACACAGTGATTTGTGTATTATGTGACCATTGAGCGTTACGAGGATATTTGAAAATAATTTATCTGGACAAACGGAAAGTTTACTTTTACTCTCTCCTCCGTCACAAGGGATAGAAATTATTTTGAAAAGGGACCTTGCGCTTACAAACTGGATAAACCGGAAGTTCACTTTGATACTCTCTTCCATACAAAGCCATTAATATTCTCTTTAAAAAGGATTTGGCGCTTAGGCAAGATCTTGTATAGGTTCCTATCTACACGTATGTCTATATATCAGGATATTGACCACAGCAATAATTTGAAATTTTAATTATTTTTTTTCTGTTAGAAAAAAAGGCATTGTCTCCTATCTGTGGTGATTCTTGCACTTGTTCATCTATACAATGTTGTAATTTTTAGAATTTACAATATTTGTTTCTGTTTTGTTTTTTCAATTTGTGATATGTTTAATGATGATTCTACATTATTGTATTTCTTTCATGACAAAGAAATGAACAATTGTATGAGTTGCAAAATTTAATAAAATGGGGAAAATCTTCAGTCTCTCGGTTCATCAATGATCCCATCAATATTTGATTGTTAATTTTGTTATATCATGTTTGAATTCCTTATCAAAATGTTATTTTACATGATTTTGAAATTATGACTTATTTATTAAACTAAACCTAATTTCCTACAGTAGTATTTACTAAAGACTAAGACGTTTTGTTCATGGCTTTTAGCCAAATCCGATAAACGTATCTAGTGATTTATGTTTTATCTGACATCAGTGTTAATGCTCGATTACATTTAAATAGTTGTGATTTAAAATCAAGTCAATTCTACAGAATGTTACCATGATGATGTTAAAATTGTACTTTTGGTTTGTCAGTCAGTCTCTGAGACCACTAGACGGTCAAGGTCATTTACTCATTGCCAAGGTCATAGCTACAGTCTTTTTACTATATATTGTCCAGTGTTACATTTCTTTAAAATATAATATGATCCTAACAAAAAATACAAACATGTACATCCCTTTCACGTGCTATATAGTTACCTATTATCATGCCATTTGCTCTTTGTGAGCTGCTTTGAAATAAACAAGTAATTTTACTGTGCGTCGGAAATTCGTTTGTACAGACATTATTTTAATATTCCTATGTATCAAGATATGTTATGTAGGTACATGTTGTACTTTTTAGTCCCCCAACGGTTCCCAGGGGGACTATAGGTTTGCACTCAATCAATTCTTCCGTCCGCGAAGTTTGTCCGGGACATATCTTCTATACTATTTCACCTGGGGTAGCCAGATGTGGTGTACAAGGACATATTTGCATGACGAAATGCAGTGTGCAAGAATTAGGTAATTGTGGCCAATGACTTGATCTTTACTTTTTAAATGTTGATCAGGGGTATATCTTCTATACTATTTCACCAGGAGTAAGCAGATTTGATGTACAAGAATTTAGAGAGATGTCGGAGTGCAGAGTGCAAGATTTGGGTCACTGTGACCTATGACTTGATCTTTGACCTTTACTTTTTGAAAACATTTGTCCCTGGGGGGGGGGGGGGGGGGGTTTTNTTTTACCGGAAGTAAGCAGATTTGGTTTACAGGGACATAGTTGCACGTCGGAGTGTAGAGTGCAAGAATTAGGTGTCACTGTGTCCTATTACTAAACCTTTGACCTTCACTTTTGCAAATGTTTGTCCAGGGAATATCTTCTATACTATTTCATCTGGAGTACCAGATTTGGTGTACAAGAACATATTGGGATGATGTGTTTGTTAATTATAGAAATCGTTACCGATGGGGGACTATGAATTGCCTTGCAATACTTTGCATTGTTTATCACTGTCCTCTAAATGGTATTTGTTTACACTGTGTTCTGTAAATCATATCATAATCAATAAAACAATCGATTAGTGTTTTATGTCTTTAACAATTTCCTATCTACACAGACGAAATATCCAAATCAACAAAATTTTACTTATAATTTTTTTTTATTACAATTAATAACTTTTACATATTTGTTTTATTTGTCTTTTTTTGTCGAGACAGAAAGCATCCTTTAACAGGCAATACGATAGATTTTATAACGGTTTACTGGATAATTTTCTAAAAACAAGGCGATTTTCTTGTCATAATGAATATCTCAGTCGCAATCCCTTGTTTTGTGCATAAGTAAATTTCCATCAGTACTACTGACCTTGGTCCTTAAGCGTAAAAGGACGAAAAATATGTATCCTGGGTGTAAAAATATATCAACGTTTTAAGACCGGGATTCAAACACTGGACCTCTGATCATAATACGATTGAGTGGTACGTTCCAGGGGAACAGTCCGACTACCAAAACAAATAAAGGGAGGTTACTATGTGTGGGATTGAGACAAAAATCAAAATTGAAAACACTACTTGTCATCCATTACATCAAATATCCTCATGGTGACAACTGCATGATTGAAGTACGAAAGGGTTGATGTTGGCAATGCTGTTTTCTTAAACCATTAAAAGTCTCCTCACTTATGACAAGTGTAACAGGAGATGGAAAATGCACGACCAGACCGGGGTTCGAACCCAGGACACTCTGAACTCTAGACGGACGTTCTAACCAATTGTGTTAACTGGTCACCGGCGATTGACTCAGTCCAGTTTCGCTACATATGTATGGAGTACATATGTTTCCTAATTCCTGAAGCTTTAACGATCCCTGCCCCGCTGCCATGTAGATTTAACCAGATTGACCCGGTAGCTTAGCTGGTTAGAGCAACAGTAGAACAATTTTAGATCTGGGAGTCGAATTCTGGTCTAGCCTCAATGAATTTTGCTGTAAAACATTTTTGTTAATAGTATTTTGTTGATACTAAACACTATTTTTGTTCAGAAGAGTCGCGCAAGGTTTTGGTTTCTTTTCGGAAATGATTTATCAAAACCATAGTCATGCAGGCAAAAACGGTTTCCAATGAGTAGTTACGTGTTTTTGCCATGATGCTAGTATCCTGAAATAAACACAGACTACAGGTCATCTTCGCTAGCCAAGTGTTCGCTTCGTATACACTCCACTTCCAAATGGAGTGTGTACGAAGCGAACATTTGGCTAACGAAGATGACTACAGGTATACCCTGGGGATAATTTTAATCAAGAGAATGTACCACAACGAAGGAAAAATCTGCGATCAGTTACTAGTTTTACTAGTCACGACGTGGTAATTAAAATTCCAATCATTTAAAATCACAGCTCCTCTTTTATTTCTTTTGTGTAACAATACAGTGCGGGGCTTATATTCCGTGATATAACGAATATCAGTAGGATATGAAATGGTTAACTGATAAATGATGAAATAAATCATGTCAATATTCTTTATATTTGTGAAGTTTTTCGAAAGCATATCACTGATATTAAATTTTGTTAGACTAACATGTACCTGAGGAAATCTTTAAATATTTCGCAAGTTAGAAATATTGTTGCAGGTCGGGATGCTGTTAAATATAAACAACGCGATTTGTCTTGTCGATAATTAATTACTCAGTCGCCTTTCCTTATTCTATACATAAGTAAATTTATATTAGTTACAGTAATCTTAACCCTTACCTATGAATCACTTGTGTGATTTATGACTAAACATTTGACCATTAGAGCGATAATAAACGTATTTGGCTGTTATGACATGAGGTGCCTGTGAGCTTATTGGTATGATGCATCGTCCGTCATCCGTCAGTCCATCAACTTGTTTCCTTTGAGGTACGTTATTTTTGAAAACTGAAAGACTAAAGCTAGTTTCCCGTGAAGAACGTTTTCTTGAAAACTGAAAGACTAAAGGATATTCCTGCACATCTCTGAACACTCAACAAGTGCTATTGTAGATTAAATGGAAAGTATTAGAAATGAAATTCTTCTGTGATTACATTGCAGTATAGTTTAATGTTTTAAACTGCACGTTAGTGGCCAGATGTAGTGGTTCTAAATGTTACCATGGACTGTACGGCCTCCACTCTGTGCTATCTGGCTGGTCAAGAATTATCTGTTGTAAAAATATATAAAAAGAATGTTTATATTTAACTACTATATTGATATGATAGAGCTTCTGATCTATGCGTATATGTTTATTGTAACTTTCATTTCAAAATATAATCATTATTGATAATATTTTTTCATAAGCCTCAAATACACTGACAACTAAATGAACTAGCTACTTTGTACATTTGTTGCCACCTGTATTGACGTTATGGAGAGAACGTACACAAGCCGTGCCTGTTGCCAAATCCTTTTGACAATATAACATATTGTCAATAAAATTTGTCAAAATGAAAAAAATACATGATATATTCCTTTGACAATATAACATATTTGTGCATTAAATTTGTTCATGTAAAGTCAGCGCGAATCTCTACTTGATTCGGTTACTGTTCATAGAGGTCAAAATTGTGTTTGTGAGCATTTCCTTTCTATACTGCTCATTCAGATACTCTATGGCAGTCTGAAGCATTGATTCAAGCCTACAGGCAAACGAAGTACCTGATACATCTTTTTTTTAAAGGCGTTAAAAAACCCTGCATAAACATCCCATTACTTGATGTATCGCCAAACAATGCGCCTTTATATATCATCTACCGTCACTTCGGAATCAAACCTTTCTACAAATATGTAGCGGTCGTACGTCACGCAAATACATCCTTAGACTTAAAACTGATATAATAGAACACAGTGATCTGTGTATCATGTCGCCATAGAGTGTTTCGAGGATACTTAACAACAAACCTTTCTGGATAAACCGGACGTTCACTCTAACACTCTCTTCCGTACCAAGCTATTAATAGCCTGTTGAAAAAGAACCTGGCTCTTAGGCAGGAAGTTGTGTAAGTACTTATCTGTATCTTTATACAAGCAGTTTTAACTGGCGAAACTTTTACCTATACACGAGGACGACATCAATAATTTGGAAGTTTTGTCATTTCAATACGACAGAATTCCCCTTTTAGATACAGTGTCCCAATAGTATAACTGTGAAGAATCTTGCACGTGTTTAATTATACAAATTGTTGTATCTCGTTAATTTATTTATTTTTCTTTCTTCACCCTACTAGGTGTTGATGTTATTACTTATACTTTAAAGAAACCGTTTTATAAGTGGAAATAACTACTAAAATGAGTAAAACAACTTCAGGCGTTCGGTTCATGAAAGTTATCATCTATATTTGAATGTTATTTCATATTTGATTTCAAAAATCAAATTGCAATTAACGTGAATTTTAAATTATGTATATATTATATTATTAGTTTAATGGTATTTGTCATTTTGACTGAAGTGTGTAATTGATTTATGGTCTTGTACACATATCTTGTCGTTTATTGTTAACATTTAACATAGGTTTTAGGCCGTTGTTTTATATTTGAGCTTTTTTCACATATGATAGCCATGTGCTTGTTATTGTTTTGTCCAGTTCTGTTGTAGGTCTGTAGTTTTTACAATATGACCAGGAAAACCCGCCAATATATATAACCTCGCGTGTTTGTTGCGTCACATCATGTATACATCTTCCTGTATATCTTTTATTCTGCATGTGCTGCTTCAAACTAAACATGCAAACATATGCTACAGTCGATCACCGTTAATACGTCTATATTGTCAATTCTCAATGACCATGTGCTACTGCTCTGATTTATTTCTTTTACTGGAACAGAAGTTCTGCTTAAACAGACAATACAATATACATTTTCATAAGATTTAACAGCGATGCTGTACTGTTATTAAAACATCCGTTTGCTGGTAAATAAATAAATTGCCCAGTCACATTTCCTTATTCCAAGTGTATGTTAAATTATCTCAGTTTCAATTACCTTGAATCTTAAACGTTCAGTACTAAACACGTGTGTGATGTTTCGGAAAAACCCCGACTGATAATGAAACTTGAAACAATAACTGATATGTTATTGATAGAAACGGCGATCTGATCGATGAGCAATTCAATTTTCAGAAAATTCCTGCTGATGATAATACATGAAAATTTTAAACTTCTTAGGATATGCATGGTCTTATCTCTAACAAGCTGACATGGGTATCTAATTTTGAAAAGTGGGATTCTTTGGTTGGTGTTGGTGAGAGGGGAAGGTCTTGCGTTGCCTGCCCCCTCCCTCTATGTCAAGTAATCCTGACAGGCTACAACAATGATATGGTGATGGTGGGTAATATGTTGAATATGTTCGGATGAACCGTTAGCATATAAAACATCATGAATATTGGCATTGCAGTTTTACCGTCATTTCGGTATCAAACCCTTCTACAAATATGTAACAGTCGCACGTCACACAGACACCGCATTATAGCATGAACAAAGTACTGATATAATAGAACACAGTGATTTGTGTACCATGTGACCACGGAGTGTTACGAGGAAGCTTTACATCAAACTTTTCTTAATAAACCGGACGTTCACTCTAATACTCTCTTCCGTGCAAAGCTATTAACAATCTGTTGAAAAAGG